GGGGGGCGGGAAATGGCGCCCGCGGCGGGGAGGCTCTGAGGGGAGCAAGGCCGCGAGCCCCTGCTCGCGCCACAGCGCCGCGCCCCGCCCCCTCCTCGAGCGGGCGGCTCTCCTATTGGCCGACGCGCCCGCCCATCACGCGGCCTCCTGCCTTCCCGCCGCAAAAATAAACACAGGGGCGGAGGCGGAAGGCGGTGGGACCCCACTGCGATTGGCTGAGCGGCTCAGCGCGGCGGTACGCCGCGCGGCTGTGATGGCAGGCATGGCGGTGCGTGACGGGAGCCGTGTGAGGTACAGCCCTGGGGAACGGGGGCTGGAGAGCGGCCCGGCGGGAAAGGACCTGGGGGTGTTGGTCACCTGTGGGCTGAAGATGAGCCAGCAGTGTGCCCAGGTGGCCAAGAAGGCCACCAGCATCCTGGCCTGTGTCAGGACCCTGACAAGGTGGTGGCAGCTACACCACCTCCCTGTGCCACCATGTCTAGTGCAGCCTAAAGGCATAGAATCATAGAATTGTCCAGGTTGGAAGGGACCTTTCAGATCATCTAGTCCAACCATCAACCCAACTCTGATCAAAACCATCACTAACTTGGCAGCAAGCCCTGAGCTTTGGGGTCCCCTGGGCTTTGGAAACATCCCACAGAGCTCTGGATTGTAACAGACCAGCACCTCCTGGTGCAAAAAGGCTCTCTGCGGGATTTCCCCAAGCACAGAAAGCGCCGTGTCTCTCTGGCAAGCTGCAAATGGAGCTTCAGAGAAACGAAATCTTCTCCAGGAGGGCAGTGTCTCACTGCAGCACCTTGTCAGGGTGGTGTAGCGGGTGCATCAGCATGTAAAACCCCACGGTGCCTTCACATTGCTTACAACTTGCTTGAGGCTGCAATGCCAAGCAACAGAAATCATTCCAGTTGAAGATGCTCTTCATCTGGTAGCACCGGATGGTAGCACCTCTTCATCTGATGCCATGTAACTTCAACGGCTTCTTCTTCTCTTCATGAACACCTGTCTTTATGTTTGAGATCATACATCGATGCAAGGTGTTGACAGCAATCCATAAAACAGTTTTCACTTTGCAGAAGGGAAAAAGAAAAAAAAAGATTAACCTGAAAACTATACCTTTGTGGGTGTCACTTTAAACAAGAGGCTCCTGGCCACGCTCACAGCTGTACCCTGGCCAAAAAAAACCACCAGTTTGGTCTGTGCCAAACTCTCCTGCATGGAAAATACAGGCCCTGCAAGGAATGTGTGGAGCATGAAGCAAAACCATTGTTTTTTTTCTGAGTGTTAAAGATCAAGTATGTGAGACACGGGTTGGTGGTACCTAGCTATAATGTCCTTTGCGTCGCAAGGACTTCTTTGTCCTCACAGCTGTCCAGATGGTTGGTATAAAGCATTGCTCTAACTCCTGTCCATATGGACAGGTGCCTGCAGCACCCCCAGGCATCGAAGATCTCCACAAAAGCCACTTTTGAGGCTGACTGCAGGTTCCCCACTTGTCGTGTCTTTGGCAAAACCACCTAGGTGGAGACCAGGAGTCCTGCTGTAGCTTCCTGAACCTTCTGGCTGCAGTGACAGCTACCTGGGCCATGGCACACTTTGAGGGGCACGGAAAGGTTCGGGACCTTGGTACGAGCCCCCCGTTAGCAGGAGTGAGGCAGGTGGCAAAGGGTTAATCGGCACAAAGAGAAGGGGGAGAGAGTGTGCACCCACCTGGGGAGCATCAGGAGCGTGGGGAGGGTTGAGCTGGCTCTCCTCCAGCCTCTGAACCTGGGGGAGGACTCTGGTTTGGGTGGCCTTGGGCAGTCTGCCACGAGCCTCATCCGGAGCAGCTGGTAAGGGGAGTGGGAAAGCAGAAGGCATCTATCTGCTGGATCTCGGCGCACAGTCTGGGACAGAACACATTTACTTAACCTCTTCTTTGTCCGTGTTGTTGCTGACAGACTGCTACAGTTTCCAACACACCAATCCAGTTCCCTTTACTGGATATTGCTTGCACAAAGCTTTAAAATCCTGTGTGGTCTGTGCCGAATTCCCCATTTCCAGGGTTAAAGCTGATGTGAATAAATCTATTTCTCTGCTTGGCCTTAAGGAGCCATCAAAAGTGTTCTTCATATTTACATCACAGCTGCTCCAACTGGAGGTGAGCCCTGCCTCTTTCACACCCGACAAGCTTTGCTCCTGCACTTGCAAGTTCAGGCTGGTGTTTTGTGTGACAATCTGTTAAAGAAGGAAAACACCAGTAACAACTTAATCGCTAAAAATAATTTACCGGAGAAGCATAGTTGAGACATCTGTATCACAGTAAAATACTTCTTTCCTTTTTAACTTCTTTTATTTTTTTCTTTTACTAAGAGGATAAAGAATATGTAAGTTTATTTTTGTTAAAGCAAATTGAAAACTAATTATCTAGATTTCATTTTGAATCATCTAGGCAGATTTAACCAGTGCGTTTCGAAGCCAGGGCTCAGAAGGGGTGTCAGGGCAACAGAAGTGATGAAGAATGAATAAAAAAAAAAATCCTTTTGGAATCTTCATGCTTTTTAAAGATCCCAAAGAGGAAAGCTGATATATTTAGCAGTCAATGCTAAGAGATTTCAGAAAGCAAGAATCAGTTTCTTAGAAACACATGAAACTGCAACAGCCTCACAGTCGCTAGAGCAGTGCAGTGAGTTTTTCCCTTGGAGACATACAGGACCATTTAATTAAAAAAGGAAAAAAATAATGCAGTGGAAGAACTGCAGTCTTACCAAAATACTTCCTCGCTGCTGAGAGGAGGTGGCCCAAATGCCAGTAAACAATATGGATTTTGAATTCTTTGATTTTTATTATAAAATCTAGGGGTTTTTTAAATGCAAAGATACGTCTAATTTTGAGTCTGATAATCTTTCTCTCCAATATAGTATACCATTTTCAAGTCTTAGCCACTTATTACCTGCAGCATGTACTTACTGTTCCAATTCCAATGTATTAAGAAGCTCAGGGAGCAGTTTTTGACTGATTTGTCATTTGTGAGCGACCCGTTCAACCTTTCTTTCTTTGGCTTAAGCAGTTAAAAGAGAGTATTAAGAAATAGCGAGTGAGGTTTAGGAAGGACTCGGAGCGCGGGGTTGTAGCACGGGGGACAATCCTGGCTGGCACAACACTGTTTAGGAACCAACAACCCACTACTACAACCTGTAACGTGAGGCAAGGCTACAGAAAGGCAGAGATGGGCTACACTGGAGGAAGGACTGAAGAGCGATGAAATCAGTTTTAAAGGTTAAAATGAGGAGGGATTTTGAGTGCGGCTCAAGCAGAATAGGAGGTTAAAAGATGAGGATTACTTAAGCAGAAAAAAGCGCTTCATTATTTATTTTTTTTTAAAGAGAAGCAAGTTGAGCAGCATTCCAGTAATGTTTGTTTTGTTGTTTTGTTTTGTTTTTCTATACTAGTACTTTTATAAAATTTCTTGCAAGAAGCAGCTTTTTCCATAGGTGATAATTCCAGTTCTTTGGCAATGTCTTCTCATTCGCCCTTAAATAACTTTCCTTGATGTGCATGTTAATGGGAAATGTTATCTTTCACCCTTCTTACAGATTTTACTCCCAAACAGCAGCAAAATTTTATAATAGTTTTTTCAGACTGTCTCCAGTTGGCCAGAAAGAGATAACTGAAAGAATGCAAACCACATAACCTTGATTCACACATCTCTGGTTCTTTTCAGCTTGTCTTTGACAAGCACCCGGAGTGTCCAGGCAGCTCTTTTAACCCTTACCATTGCTGAATGCAGACCTACTCCTCCGGCACTGAAATTTCATGCAGCTTTAGGATACAGAAAAAAAGATATTAATACAAAATTTGTGCTGCAATGGTTGGCTATGCATCAACCACAAGCAATAGCGCTGATAGGCAAGCACTGGTTGCAAGTGCACCCTCAGTCAGTTCACAGACAACACCAAGTTGGGTGGGAGTGTTGACCTGCTGGAGGGCAGAAAGGCTTTGCAGAGGGATCTGGACAGGTTGGATGGATGGGCCAAGGCCAATGGGATGAGGTTCAACAAGGCCAAGTGCTGGGTCCTGCCCTTGGGTCCCACCAACCCCCTGCAGCGCTACAGGCTGGGGGCAGAGTGGCTGGAGCTGCCTGGCAGAAAAGGACCTGGGGGTGTTGGTGGCCTGTGGGCTGAAGATGAGCCAGCAGTGTGCCCAGGTGGCCAAGAAGGCCACCAGCATCCTGGCCTGTGTCAGGAACAGTATGGGGAGTAGGAGTTCCTTCTGGCTCTCTCCAACTCCCTGAAAGGAGGGTGTAGCCAGGGGGGGTCGGTCTCTTCTCCCAAGGAACAGGCCATGGGACAAGAGGAAATGGCCTCAAGTTGCCCCAGGGCAGGTTCAGATTGGAGATTAGGAAAAATGTTTCCATGGAAAGGGTTCTTAAGCCTTGGACTGGGCTGCCCAGGGCAGTGGTTGAGGCCCCATCCCTGGAGGGATTTAACAGCCGGGTTGACCTAGTGCTTAGAGACATGGTTTAGTGATGGTTTTGATCAGAGTTGGGTTGATGGTTGGACTAGATGATCTGAAAGGTCCCTTCCAACCTGGACAATTCTCTGATTCTATGATATATAATATAAACCTATTAACAGAGAAAGAGCTGCTCCAAGTTAATGCAGTGGCTACCTAATAAAAACCCCACACAACCCCATCCCACCCCAAGACAGAAAAAAGCATCAGACTCATTTTCCAGTGAGATCAATTATCCCATATATATCATTCAAGGCAGCTACAATTCCTCACCTCACACAGGATCCCTTGTTAAGCTGCAGTAATTATAGTCTGAGTCGGGACGTCACAGTTCTGGGCTAGGTGAAAATGTGCTTCTACGAATAGAAGAGTTGCTCAAGACTAAATGTCACATGCCTTTATACATAGCCTCAGACTTTGCTAGAAGAGGAGTTTTTGCTAAAAAATATTGCCCCAATTAAGATTTTTCACCCTAGTTTATAGTGCATTTTTATGATTT